TAACTAGATAAGATCTCGTTGCGAGCAACGAGTGGGTCTTCTGTCCGATTCTTGATGAGATGAGATAAGATTTTAATCGAGATTTTTATTCTAAAATAATAATAAAGATTGTGAAGAAGAACGATTTTGCCTTCATAATCTGTAAGAATGCATTGAACATTAAAGATTTTAATATTAAACTTTTGGCCCCTCGCGACCCCTAACATTAGGGATCAGCCCTTTTTTTATTCATATCATCTTAAAGCTCTCATGATTTTGATCACTTTTTCTTAAACAACTATTCAGAGATTGTTTTTCGTTTTCGAGTTATTTGCAAAAGAAATATTTAGGGGCCAACCCTTCAACTCCTTAATGGGGACGTTTAGCGAAAAATGAAAGGTTGCATATTGTTCAGAACATTATTTTGAACATCTTTTGTTCAATATTACTTATCAAAATATTTCTCACTTTTGAGATATAAAGCGTCAAAGATTTAACATTTTGGCCCCTTTTGGTCCTTTATTCTATACCATACGACATTAAAATCATAATATATAGGTGTAGAATGTTGATATAAACATTTTTGCTTCAGTAATGTATAACTATATTTTTGCTGCTAAAGAGTTATCGATTGAAGACTTTTGGCCCCTCTCAGCCCTTAATTTGAGTGTCCAGCCCCTTCTTCTGGATCTTACCTTAAACTTCTCAATATTTTGAACATTTTTTGTTCAACAACTATTCAGAGATTCTCTTTCATTTTCGAGTTATTTATAAAAGAAAAATTTAGGGGCCAACCCTTCAACTCCTTAATGGGGACGTTTAACGAAAAATGAAAGGTTGCATATTGTTTAGAACATTATTTTGAACATCTTCTGTTCAATATTACATATCAAAATATTTCCCACTTTTGATATAGAAGGCGTCAAAGATCTAGCATTTTGGCCCCTTGTGGCCCCTAATTATGTTTCATACGACATTAAATCATAATATATAGTTATAGATTGTTGAGATAAACAATTTTGCTTCAGTAATGTATAATAAAATATTGTCTGTTACAGAGTTATCGAATAAAGACTTTTGGCCCCTCATGGCCCCTAATGTGATAAGTCAGCACTTTTTTTGATATCATATGAAAGATCTTGTCATTGGTCACAAATATTGTTCAGTATGTTTTAACAAAATATTTTTACTTAAAGAGATATGATGCAAAATGTCTCAAAAAATCACTCATGATTCGTGTCCTAAATTTCGACCCCTACCGACCTTCCATACTAGGCACTTCCGGAAGATTTGAAAGTATAGGTGCAAAACTACATGTCGTCTATATTCGCTGAAAATTACAGCTCTCTAGCTTTGGTCGTTTTTGAGTTTTTGTGTCGACAAAATGGTCACTAAAAATTCGATCAAAGGGCGATAACTTCCGACCGAAAGTGATTTTTCGACAAATAAAAAAAAATGGATCAGGGTTAGATCATGATACATCATCTCTGAAAATTTCAAAGAAATCCGTCCATGCATCTCTGAAAAATCGTCTGCACAAAATTTGGACGAAGAAAAATAATAATAATAGTGAAAAAGAAACAATAGAATAATAGAAGGGTCTTCCGTTGGAGACGAAAGACCCTAATAATAACTAGATACGATCTCGTTGCAAGCAACGAGTGGGTCTTCCGTTCGATTCTTGATGAGATGAAATAAGAATTTGATTGAGATTTTCATTCTAAAATAATGATTTTCCATAATCTGTAAAAAGACATTGAATATCAAAGATTAAAAAATCGACTTTCAGTCCCTCACGGCCCATAATATTAGGGATCAGCCCTTTTTTTCTACATATCATCTTTAAGCTCTCAGGATTTTGATCACTTTTTGTTCAACAAGTGTTCAGAGATTTCTTTTCGTTTTCGAGTTATTTACAAAAGAAATATTTAGGGGCCAACCCTTCAACTCCTTAATGGGGACGTTTAGCGAAAAATGAAAGGTTGCATATTGTTCAGAACATCATTTTGAACATCTTTTGTTCAATATTACTTATCAAAACATTTCCCACTTTTGAGATATAGAGCGTCAAAGATTGAACAGTTTGGCCCCTTGTGGCCCCTAATTATGTAACATACGACATAAAATTCATAGTATTGTGTAGTAGATTGTTGAGGTAAACATTTTTGCTTCAGTGATGTATAACAAAATATGGACTGCTAAAGAGTTATCGATTGAACACTTTTGGTCCTTTTTGACCCCTAATTTGAATGCCCAGCCCTTTTTCTGAATTTTCTCATAAAGCTCTTATGATTTTGAACACTTTTTGTTCAACAACTATTCAGAGATTGTTTATCGTTTTTGAGTTGTTTGCAAAAGAAATATTTAGGGGCCAACCCTTCAACTCCTTAATGGGAACGTTTAGCGAAAAATGAAAGGTTGCATATTGTTCAGAACATCATTTTGAACATCTTTTGTTCAATATTACTTATCAAAATATTCCCAACTTTTGAGATAAAAGCGTCAAAGATTTAGCATTCTGGCCCCTTGTGGCCCCTAATTATGTACCATACGATATGAAAATCATAATATATAGCTGGAGATTGTTTAGATAAATATTTTTGCTTCAGTAATGTATATCAAAATATTGCTTGCTAAAGAGCTATCAATTAAAGACTTTTGGCCCCTTTCGGCCCTTAATTTGAGTGTCCAGCCCCTTTTTCTAGATTTTACTTTAAATCTCTCATGATTTTGAACATTTTTTGTTCAACAACTATTCAGAGATTCTCTTTCGTTTTCGAGTTATTAGCAAAAGAAATAATTAGGGGCCAGCCCTTCAACTCCCTAATTGGGACGTTTAGCGAAAAATCAAAGGTTGCGTATTGTTCAGAACATTTTTGTGAACATCTTTTGTTCAATATTACTTATCAAAATATTTCCCACTTTTGAGATATAAAGCGTCAAAGATTTAGCATTCTCTCCCCTTGTGGCACCTAATTATATACCATACGACATAAAAATCATAATATGTAGTTGTAGATTGTTAAGATAAACATTTTTGCTTCAAAAATGTATAACAAAATATTGACTGTTAAAGAGTTATCGAAAAAAGACTTTTGGCCCCTTTTGCCCCTTAATGTGATGAGTCAGCACTTTTTTCTTGATATCATATTAAAGATCTTAATCTCAGTGCAAATGATAATGCAATGTAATTCGCAAGTCTTCAGCTGACGTTATAAAACCTAAATTCAATGTCTTTTAACCATACTTGCAAGTACCCCCTTGCTCCTTGTCATGATCAAGCAGACGGGAAAAAATCAGTTAATGACTCAGTAAAAATAATTACATAACAATTTGAATGAATAACGCGGTTCAACGTTTTACTTATAATGATAGACTGTATCTGCTGACAAATTAGAATTTGCGAAATGTTGACTTTAAACATGACTGTTACATAATCTTTTCATTAACTATTTTGCCTTGTTCTTTAAACTGTTTGTTCGTAGAGCATGCTCTAGATAATCAAATAGGATTGAAGACAAATCCCCAGCAGAAAATAATGATATATTGCTAAAAAATAAATGAAAGGTGGCGGTAGAAAGTTTTCACATTAATCATTAATTTTGTTTTTTGGTTAACATCGACGTCTTATTCAAATAGGAAACAAGTGTTTTAGACTCTTTTGTATCTTTTATTTCAAGTTCACTGGGGTATATCGAGTGGAATAAAAGTAACTAAAATAAACAGATTTTTGTGAAAAGAGTTCTTCTTAAATGCAGTCAAAACAATGAACCTTACAAACAATAGCCGAGAGTGCAAATAAGTCAAACATTTTATTTAGGCTTTAATTGAAACCTTTACACCTAATTTTATTCTAAATTTACTTGTACCTTATTTATTAAATGTATTTTTGTGAAGTTTTATTTAATTTTTTCATTGTATCATATAAGTTTCCAAAATTTAGCGCAAGTCAGGACGATAATTATTTATAGTACTTCAGTAGTTTGCAAAGTCCCTTTCTCGAAATGTGCACAATGGCCCGTGAATGCGATTGATAACAAATATTTGGAATTGTAAGTGAAAGTAAATAGATTATAATTTAAAAAGAGGGTAGCTAATTATATTATTCGTAATTCCGAACGTGATATGCCGAAAAGATTGATTCAGAATCTCAAAGAACTTGAAGAGCTTATCCTCATAGTAAAAAAAGCTGAAATGTTAAATATTTATTTAGAGGGGCGTTCATAAGTAAAGCAACTAATGGTTTTCCATAGAAAAGGATTTTAATATTCCTTTTAACGGTCTATAAGTTCCTTCTTTTCCTCTCCAACCACAAACCCTGAAAGAAGTTTGCCTTGGTATTCATAACATTGTTACAATTCAAAAAAAGACATGCCACTTCATAAAGGGATTTTTAGCTAAGATGGCCGCTCAAATAAATATCCAAATGCGAGCAATTATGAGAAACCGTGCATTGGTAGGAAATCCTTGAAAGACATATAGATGGGTGAATCCTTTAACAGTGAAAAAAGTTTGTGCCAATTGACAATCAATCAATTTTCATTTTATTTAACTTTTTGTCTATTTTTCTTTTTGTGTTCTTTTCAGAGATTGATTGACTGATTAGTTGTATATTTTATTTAAGATTAAAGAATTCATAAAGATAATTCTGGAAAGGAGACAAGAACTAGAAATAATTAATGCTGCAAAAAAAAAAAATTCATATCTTTGCCCCATTTGTTAGATATTTGTGGTCGAACACAATCTATGAAATGCTACATTGTTCTTTTAATTCTTTTTTCTAAATAGATCTTAAGGAGTAAACATTCTGGCATGTGTATCAAGTTGGTTCCTCAAAATATGTTTGATATGTTTAACAAAAAACCCCTTATATTCAAGGAGAAGAGGCAAGAAAAACTATCAAATATTCCCGCTCTGAAAAACTTATTTGAATGCATTTTGTATAGTCGTGTTTGATTTGTTTATGAAAAATACCTTTATAGGCACTGCACGAATAATATATGAGACCACAATTTCTTTATATAAAATAAGGATTGTACAAGCAAACAAAATTATAAATTAAGAAATACATATAGTTCTGTATGTATTTAAAACAAATTTAACATGGTCGTACTGTTCCCTCAATATTAATGACACATCCATCTGCCTTTCTGGTGCTTTCTTAGATGTATAAGTATACATATCAGCATTGTTTATACATCCATTGGTTTTTGATTGGGAAAGCCAGTTCTTGGAAGGAATTTATAATAATGTCCTTCACTGCCTTTTAGTGTATCATACACATGTTTTTTTCTGACTCATTAGATCATCCATTTTTGAAGTTACATGGTGTTGTGAACATGTTTGCCAGCAGTTTTTCTCACTGACATACAGGCATTCGGAAGGTGTGTAAGAATCTTTAACAACGCTTTGTACGTTTTCTTTATTATCTGCAGTATAAATGAAATTGAAAGATATTAGGACTAAAATGATTATTTTAGATAATCAAATGTGTCACGTATAGATACCATTAATTCTCATTACAATACACCTAAACCTTTCATAGTTGGCGAACGAGCACTTTACAACACTTTATAATCGGTAAGTTTTAGCTTCGCACGATCTCTCGCATACGTTGCATGATGTCTAGCATTTATTGCATGTGCTTCTAGTGGTCACATCAAGAGTCACAATTGCCATGCTTTGCCTCATGCCAAATAATTAGTTGTAGTTGCTGTTTCTCTAAACTTTCTTTTAGTAAAAGTGTAAAGCATTATTGGACAAAATAATTAACCACTGAACAGAGTTTTAATTAATAGAGATTTAATACAGGAGAAGAGGAAAATAAAATGGAAAACTGTGTTAAAAATTTCCTTATTTAATTGAAGAGCACTTGAATGTCTGACCTTAAAAACAGAGGAAAGGTTTATTTCTTTTCTAAAATCAAATTTATTTAAAGCCAGAATTATCAAAGTAAGTAAACACAAACAACATACAGTTTTCAATGGATGGAATTTTTTTTTTCAAAATATGATTCAGGTTGAACAAACGGAGGTTAAAAAGTAATAGACAACAAGATAAAGGTGAAAATATAACAAAACAAGAGGCCCATGGGCCACATCGCTCACCTGAGAAGCTTTGACCATTCTGTTCTTTACCAGATTTCACCCTTGTTATACATAATGCATCCCCACCCTGCCCCACTGATCATAATTTAGACATTTTGAAATCTACACTACCCCATGATCCTTCCATGGGCACATATATTTCAGCTTTTTTGGCCCAGTGGTTCCTGAGAAGAAGATTTTCAAAGATTTTTCCTATATATTTCTATGTAAAACTTTGATTCCCTATAATGGCCCCGCCCTTCCCCCGGGGGTCATGATTCCTACAATTAAGAATTTACACTACCCCAGAATGCTTCCACAAAAGCTTCACTTTTTCTGGCCCAGTGGTTCTTGAGAAGAAGATTTTCAAAGATTTTTCCTATATATTTCTATATAAAACTTTGATTCCCCATTGTGGCCCCGCCCTTCCCCCGGGGGTCATGATGTGAACAATTTAGAATCTACATTATATCAGGATGCTTCCACATAAGTTTCAGCTTTTCTGGCCCAGTGGTTATTGAGAAGATTTTCAAAGATTTTTCCTATATTTCTATGTAAAACTTTGATTCCCCATTGTGGCCCCGCCCTTCCCCCGGGGGTCATGATGTGAACAATTTAGAATCTACACTATACCAGGATGCTTCCACATAAGTTTCAGCTTTTCTGGCCCAGTGGTTCTTGAGAAGAAGATTTTCAAAGATTTTTCGTATATATTTCTATATAAAACTTTGATTCCCCATTGTGGCCCCGCCCTTCCCCCGGGGGTCATGATTTGAACAATTTAGAATCTACACTACCCCAGGATGCTTCCATATAAGTTTCAGCTTTACTGGCCCAGTGGTTCTTGAGAAGAAGATTTTTTAATGACCCAACCCTATTTTTGTCTTTTCTTGATTATCTCCCCTTGCGAGGGGATATGTCCCTCCATTTTAACAATTTAAATTTCCCTTCAACCAGGGATGCTTTGTTCCAAGTTTGGTCAAAATTGGCCCAGTGGTTCTTGAGAAGAAGTCGAAAATGTGAAAAGTTTACAGACGGAAAGACAGACAGACAGACAGTCGGACGGACGGACGACGGACAAAATGTGATCAGAAAATCTCACTTGAGCCTTCGGCTCAGGTGAGCTAAAAAACTTTTTTGTCCCCCGCTTGAAAAGTTGGGGATATTAATTTGGGTTTGTCCGTCCGTCCGTCCGTCTTTCTGTCTGTCTGTAACGCTTTCGTTTCCACACGATATCTCAAGAACCCTTTGAGCTTCTGCAATGAAATTTAGCATAGCAAATCCCTATGGACTAAAGAAGAACCGTATTGCTTTTGAGGTCAAAAGGTCAAAGGTCAAGGTCATAAATAAGCAAATTCTGTCTGTAATAACACTTTCGTTTCCACACGATATCTCGAGAACCCTTTGAGCTTTTGCAATGATATTTTACATAACAACTACCTGTGGTCTAAGGAAGACCCCAATTGATTTTGAGATCAAAAGGTCAAAGTTCAAGGTCGTAAATTTATACATTCTGTTTGTATGAAACACTATCATTTTCGGGCGATATATCAAGAAGATTTTGAGCTTTTGCTATGTAATTTTATACCAAAACTCCCTTAAGGACCTCTCTCACTCCTCTCAAAGTGCCCCGCTCCGTTTGTTCCAATAGTATTTATTGTATTACTTGTCGCTATTTTTAGCACAGGGACATGAGGAGAATTATTACGTATAAAACAGGTTCTCGGTGGACTCTATATTCTTATTACATCTATTAGAACTGTTTAATAAAGGTTAAATTAGACACCATGCATTGTGTAAAATTTTGACAATATCAAACTTGAATATACATGTATACATGTATGTCACTTCTTGTTTGTATACAATTGTCGCCATTTTACAGCGGCTCCGTGGTCTAGTGGTATGTCTCTCGCTTCAAGTGTGAGAGGGCCCGGGATCGCATCTCGGTCGATCCATTTTTTTTTCGAAATACTTTTCTTTTTTACTAAACGATAGTATTCAGCATGTGAAATGAAAAATTTATGAGGTCTGGCTTGTACAAACTCATAATATCATCATTACAGTGTGATAAATATTCCATATGAAAAAGAATTTTCTACACACATAATAAAGAATAATCCATCAAACCTTTATATCCATATTGGCATATCTTATTTGCTTCAGTATACATTTAATAATTCTACAAATTCAGTGAAGGGGATCCGAACCCCCGAACCCCGAACTGTGCATGATTTACTTTTCCCTAAGCGGGGGACACAAATTCTCTGAATTAGCTTGTTTAAAATATTGATTTAAATCAATTTCATTTGTACATTCAGTGCTTCGAATGATGTCACAAAAAGCATATAAAAAGGAAATACGTATAAATCCCTTTAAACAGCAGTGTTATGATTCGTTATATTAACTTCAATTCTTTGTTAACGGGTTTAAGGAAAATTGTCTTGACAATTAATCTTAGTTTCCATATTAAACGTTCTATTAGTTTACACATTCCTTTGCACGAAATTAAATAATTAGTCCAAGTTAATTCTTTACCATGAGAGAATACGCAGCAAGATTACCACTATAGCCTCTTTCCTGTAGATTTAAATTCTGTGCACTCGCAGGACATTTTCCCATTCCATTTCTTTTGAAAGAGAAAAGAGAGATAAGGTTTGAGCTGGCTTAATATTAAATCAGTTTTTTTCTACGTAATGTAAAAAGAATATATCAGTACTCACCTTTTCCGTTTTTGGAAGCAAAAACAGTAGATAAACAGCAATCCAAAGACTACAAAAGTGACAGAAACGACAGTTAACACAGTCAGAACCAGCACGCCACCCTCCGGTTGTACTTGAGTGTCAGCAGAGGTACCACTCATTGTCCATGCAGCTGTGCTCCATTTCCTTGTCGATGTCATTGAGTCGATCGTCACTTTACCTGATTTAACAAAAAATCATTTGTTTTTGTTTGTTATGCGTTATTCTTATTATTTTTTTTTGAAGTTTTTGAAAATACTAATAAATTCCGAGTACCTGTTTTGTTGAGACAACCTCTTTCAAAATGACATTCTTCTAAGGGACACTCACATTTTCTACCGCATGCAAAAACCATAGGTACCTCTATGACATTCTGTAATAAAATAAGAAAATAACAAACAATTTCAATTTTCTAAAACATATCATTTATTTACAATTATATCTTTTTCTTTATCAAAATTGTAACAGATTTCTTAGCTTCACATTAATGAATGCGTACTTGCTTTAAGCAATCAGGCATTTAATGGTTTTAAATAAAACTGCTTAAATATTATATCATGACAGTTTTTGCATTTTTCTTATCCATATCCTTCATGAAGTAAAGAAAAAATTCAAATTTGAATATTAAGTACTGAATGTGTATTGATATAAAACGTATATACTTTCAATGCAAGTTGCTCCTGTGTAACCATTTATACAATCACAACGATTTGTTTCGTTGTTTCTGATGGTATTTTTCGGACATTGTAATTTTGTCATCATGACTTTTGAACTTCTATCCAATTCTTGAAAGAACAGAGTGTTCCTCTTTGTAAATTGTTGATGTATAACCTTTTGATAAAAAGATTTCTTCTTGAGACTTGCCTGTGTCCTTTTATAATACACAACAGAAATGCATTTTAATCGATGAAAACTAAGTTACAGACATATTTTTACCCTGCCATTAACAAAACTTTAATGTAGTCATTAATGTAACTTCAAAAACTGATTTCGAATAACTATCAATGTTGATTTCCATAAGCTTATGAAATTAAGCTGTCAATAAAATGGTTAATACTAAAAGAAAGAGAAAAGTTACATTAATTCTTTGATTTGGAAGTGAATGACATCAGTAAACTGTTGTTAAAATAAAATTAAATATCTGCCTGGAAACAAACATATGTAAATAAAAAAAATCTCGCTACAAAACGATTAATTTCAACTACCATTAAACAGAATACCTTTCCCCTGAGCACGGATTTTTTTTATCCGAAGAAAAACAAATGATTGCGTTTCCTAAAAGCGTATGTTTAATGTTGTTTTAAGCTGTAATCTAATTGAATAAAAAAAACACAGCAAAATACAACTGGAGATATATAACCTTGTTGACGTACATTTCAAGTACCAACACAGCTAAAATAAACGACCTAAGAATTAAGTGGATTTAAAGTATAACAACATTTTTCTTGAAGCAAATTGCTTTACTGAATAAATTTATTTGGTATTACATGGTACATTATTTTCATAATAACAAATCATAATTGAATGCAGTATGGGATGTCAACAAAATAACCGTCACATATATCTAAATTTTTAAGATATGTACCTTAAGCTGTCAAATATTATTTCGCAGAGAAACATTCCATACTATTTTAGTTTTACAATTTCATCATTTTTGTATATCTTTATATGGAGCTCTTCTTCTAAGGATATCAAGAAAGTCTAAAAATGGCCACAACCACCCAGCCCTCCTAATACAAAAATGGCGTTTATTTTCTTTTAACTCACCTTTTTTGATGACAGGCATATTAGTAACTTCTTTATGCTATATTTAATTTTAGGGGGTCAGAATTCATAATATGATACAAAAGATTTTTGTATTCTTTCGAAGTTCCTTCTAGTCTTGTCTGACCCCTTTATAATATGTTTATATTTTTGTTTTGTGTCATCTACTTCAATAAATGACATTTTTCACCTTCACTACTGTTGTTATTTTCTTTTTAATCCATCAAAAAACTAGCTCAGTTGACTTGGCTTCGGTCTTGCTTTAATAACAGAGGAACACAATAATAATTTTAAATACAATCATTCATAATTTCAGTGCAAATGACAATGCAATAGATTTCTCAACTGGCATTTTGAAACCAAAATTTAATGTATCAGAAGTGCCCTGATGGTTGGGCTACTGGAATTATGGGACTAGAAGATAATAAATGGGGCTTGTAGGGATGCTTTAAACGGTGAAATGCCTAGAAAAAATAGGTGTAACCCATCACAAAACTGTCTCGTTTGGCATTGTTATTTTGATACTGGGGTGCCAAACTTAGATACTTTGTCATTTATGGCATGTAAGTTACTAAAGGGAGCTATAAAGATGTTGATTGCATTTTTCGACTGAGGTTAACATGTAAGAGAGTGTAAAATAAGAAGATAAAAACAGTATAAAGATCAGTCCATTGTGCCAATAAACATTTCGAACAGAGCAAACATGAACCTCTAAAAACATTCGAGACGGCATCATGTGCTTCATAATAGTATGCAACCCTCCTGTCCGCAGGTCACACACGCTGTTTACTCCTTGTCATGATCAGACAAACGCAGACCTATTTTTGTATTCAAATGAAGCAGAATTTGTCCAAAATCCGATGTATGAAAAGAAGAAAACACTTGCTATGGCCTCAACTCGACATTTAGATATATCGACGATATATCGACTACGTATTGTCAATTAACAATAATGCCATGGAAGAGTGGGCATCCCCTGCTGACCCGCCGTGTGCTCCTTGTCATAACGGAAAACTTGAAATAACGGAAAAATCCGCCGTCAATTCAGTATATAAATAATGGACTAGCAATAAGTATGAAAAAGGTCAGACAGCATTTGACTCAATGACAATTGTATTTGCTGACAAGGTCATTGTATCGACCAAACAACTTACGAAATGATGACTTTAAACGAAACTGCCGAAATTCTTGTTTCATCAACTTGTTTGTCAATAATTTACCTCGTTTTAGAAATTGTTTATATGTAGAGCATGTTCTTGCGTATCGAATCAACTGAGATATATAAACGCCGTATGCAGGCGATGAATGTATTTTGCTGCATACATGTAAGTAAAGGAAGTTGACGGTAGAAAAGTTAAAGTCATTATGTTCATCATATAGCTTGGTTGTTAGATTACCATTAACGGCTTTTTCAAGTAAATAATCCAAGTATGAAACAGATGTGTCAGACTCTGTGGTATCTTTTATCTCAAGCTCAACAGGATATATCGTATCGACATAGGAATGGAAATACCATTTTTAATTAACAATACGTCGTCGATATATCTAAATGTTGAGTTGAAAGCCACAGCAAGTGTTTTCTTCTTTTCACGCATAAGATCAACCAAATCTTTTTCTCTGAGAACTTTTCTAGTCTTGTTATTTCTTTCTTAAATATTTCGGTCGTAGAAGAAGGATATTTTAAATATTATTCTTTAACTAAAAAAAAACGTTTATGTAATAAGTTTTCATTTTAGATAAATGTTATGTTCTTAAGGAGGCTCATTACACCACTTTTTGATGACGTACTACACAAAAAAATAAACCTCCATTGTGTCGACCGGTTTGCTCAGAGGACGAGTTGTATAGGTACCTCTATAATATGACCCTGACCTTTAAAACGCTTTAAAAATAGATGAAACATGCAGTGTTGTAAACAGTGAAAACAAAGTAACGGATTCATTATGCATAAACCAAGAAGAATTGCTTTTAGGCAGAAACAAAAGAAAGCAACAGTCAAATCTTCGCCAAACAAGTAATGTCAATTTCATAGCCATGCATGCAGTGAACTCTATCAATCACAGACATGTATGTATGGAGGAAATTCGAGTTAAAATCTACAACCTTGTTGAAATTAAAATTTTATTTGATTGCTTCTGAATTTTAGATGTAATGTCAAACGTTCCATAGTGTTTTGAGTCTTGGCTAATTAGGAAAGATAACTCTTGAAAGTGGACTTTTTATACCAAATATTTTTTAAATTGGATTTTTCATTTCGTTTAAACTTTCTTCATTCAATTTGACACATGTAAGTCATTGAAATACATCCCTTGTCTCTTCAGAACACATTTTTAAAATGTTTTATGCATAGGTTAAAAAGATAATGACATTAATTGTTTTCTAGGAGAAAATTATTTTTTCAAATAAAATTATTATTAGGTATTATGAGGTATTTTCACTGTGTGTACTTGTCTTAAGAAGATGCCCATCATTTGACACTGAAAGTTCTGAAATTCTGTGAATAATAAACCTGAAATAAAACATTTAACTAAAATAAACAAAAACTAAAAAATTCTATAAAAAATATTTATGATATCAATACCCCCATCTGGATATTTGACATCGACATTATAAGTGGTATTGTATTGAAATCTAAAATAAACTGTGAATGTAATGAGCCACCTTAACATTATATAAATTATCCTTAGAATGCTGGAGCACTGCCACGTTCCTAAAAACGTCCTGGTTATTTTTAATTGACGGATAGTGAAGCCGCTCTTATTTGTATTTTTGATACATTGAAATATTAATTTTCAAGTTCACGATTTCATTTGCAGAAAAATTAAATAACTACGATTTATGTGATTAAAAACTGAATCATTTTCAGCTCAGAAATAAGGGCATTTATTTTATTACTGTTTTCTTCCATTCAAATGTTGTGTTCGACTTTAAGTATAACTAGTTTTTGTCGAGTTCTAATTTTAAATTTACTAAATGAAAATATATTCAAATTTCCGAACTTGATAACTACTACAATATCTCATCTTAAAATGATATGCTGTATAATAAAAGCTTTATATATACGTCAATTCCAACAAGTCCAGGCTTTTGGACATCGTTAGGATCTGCTTTTTAAATGACATCGGAACTCAATAAATTACTTACCTTGTCATTGGTCGTGTGTAAAATTATTTTGTTATATTGATTGTACACATAAGTATTCTGAAGTTAACATGAAAAAGATGATTCTTAAGTTTCTAATTGACAATATCTATGTCGTTTTAGGAGACCAGATCTTTCAACAGTCTATTAGAATTTAATTCTGTGTCAACTGTCCCAATTATTAGCAGACCTACCATATTTTGTATCAACATTGCACCTGATCCCACCTTTGATGTTTTGGAGGTCCGTGTTTGCTCTACTCCTATTTTGTATTGTTTTATGGACTTTTTATCTTAAATACACTTGTTATCTTCATCTGCTCCATATATTTCAAAAAGCAGAATTTGTTTTTGAAATCATAGAAGTGAAAAGAAGAAAACACATTCGACGACCTTCAACTCGACATATAAATATATCAACAACGTACAAGTGTACTATCAATTAAATAT